CCTTCATGACATGATTTTTTCCAGCTTTAGCATTCATTGCGCAGATGGACAGATGCTCGCATTATGCTTACAAAGTAAATTCAATCTACAAGTTTAGGACTCAACTCCAAAACTAATGGTTACATGTGACGAAAAGAAAGACAAGTCTTTTGAGGACAGGATATTGAATATTCAACACGAGAAGCAGCTTTCCATAGAGGCTCAAAATGCTCCTGTTGTTTTGGATGTGGAAAACGTGGAAAGCAGTGATGTGGCCTGTGTTTGTTATACATCTGGCACTACTGGTATGCAGACATGTTATCTTTGTCCTCCTGGTTTTTTTAAAATGCATTTTTGTATTCGCAGTCATACCCTTTCTGATTTGAAGGTCTACCAAAAGGTGCTATGTTAACTCACGGATCGTTATCAACTAATGCTGAAGCTCTTATTCACGCTTGGAGGTTTACAGAAAATGATAAGTAAGTAGCTTCAGCCGTTAGTCACACTATGATCTATTTATTTGCTGCTAAGTCAAAATCCATCGGCTGCTTCAAGTTCTTGCTTCCAGGTTGCTTCACATGCTTCCCTTCTATCACGTGCACGGCATTTTTATATCGCTTAGCTGCTCCTTGTTTTCGCACTCAACTGTAGTGTGGAGAGAGCGCTTTTCGCTTGAAGACTGTTTGAAATGGTTACCGTCATCAACAGTGATGATGGGTGTGCCTACTTATTACAGGTAAAAGAGGTTATGATTACGACGGATAAGCATCCCGGAAATTGAGTCTTATTTAAAGTTGATCATAAGAGTTGCCATACACGCAACTCTTGCAGTCAGCTCTTCTCAAACTCTGAGCTTGCTTTTATTCTTGAAGGAAAGAACCTTAATACTAATACCTACTGTGTTTTCACCCCGTCATTTTAAAAATTGTAGGCTTATGTATATTTGTGCAGTGACCTTGAATGAAATATCATAGAATGTTATCTAAGCACACTCTTTCTTCTCTCGACGTTATGAAGTTAAAATAGTTAGCACCGCTATGAATAGAGAGAGGCGCTAAATGTTCGCTTAGAATTCATAGTCAAGAATAACCATACAAGCGTATTTTGATATAATCAAAAATTTACTTACTTCTTCTTTAAGATGATTGTTACAGGAAAAGATCCGTTTCATCCAAATATCTACTCAAATAAACATTTTTTT